ATAGGACACTGGAGTGTCATAGACATGGAGATGACTGGGGAAGTTTCTTTTGGGGGAACCCAAGAAGGTATAATTTGGAGAAAAGGATTCCTGGTAAAAAGACTTTTGAAAGCAGAAGCACAGATGGGGCCTCAGAGCAGATTTCAAAATGGTAGTAGACATGCAGGGTGGGGCTGATGGATGGGAACATGGACCCTGAGCTAGAGCTGTCTCCTTCACCCAGATCTATGTGACAGTGCAAATAGATTCTGTTCCTTGCTAATGTGTGGGGTGTCACAGAGGGGCAGTGGTTAGGGTATCAGGTTGGGGGTTGAAGAGGGAAACCTAAGCTAGATAGTGACTGACACTTCATTTTTACCTCAAACATGAGAGGCTATTCCTGTTTGAGATGAGAAAGCAGGCTTAGGAAGTTGTCCTACATGAAATCACAAGATGTTGTTAGATCTGAATGAAGCCCCTGGCCTTTCGCTTCTCCGTGAGGAGGACTTTGGTCCATGAACATCTTGTTTGTGTTCTGTAGTTTCTAAAGTGCCCTCCCACATGTGATCTGATTTGAACGCATCTTAATCCATTTTAACCTCTGTAACAAGATACTATAGACTGGGTACCTAAACAGTAGAACTTTGATTTTCACAGTTCTGGAAACTGAGAATCCAAATTGGATGCTAGCACTCAGTGTAGCACTGTACCCTTATTTGTGCTTTTTTTTTTTTTTTTTTTTGAGACAGGGTCTCCCTGTAGCCCCAGCTGGCCTGGAACTTGCTAAGCAGACCAGGCTGGCCTCGAACTCACAGACTCCTGAGTGCTGGGATTAAAGGTGTGTGCCACCACACCCGGCACTGTGCTGTCTTTTTAAAAATTTATTTTTATTTTGTTTGAGGCAAGGTCTCTCCCAGAACTGTGCAGCTGCTTTTTGTGACGTTATCCCTGCTCCTTAAGTAATGCTTCGTTCATACTCCTCTTAGTAACTACAATAAAAACTCATTGGCTCACCAAAAACAAAATGTTTTTTTAATTTTATGTCTGAGTATTCTGCCAGTGTGTATGTAAGTACAATGCCAGAAGAGGCCGTTGGATCCCCTGGAACTGGAGTTATAGGACAGTTGTTAGCCACTGTGTGGGTGCTGGGAACCAAACTCGGGTGACCTGCAAGAATAGCCAGTGCTCTTCTTAACTGCTGAGCCATCCAAACCTGTCCTGTACTGGCAGTAGTTCCATCATGAGGCTCACCTGCTCAAAGGCCCCATCTTCAAATGCCATTCCATTGGAGATTCAGTCAGGCTTCAGCAGAGGAACTCTGGGCCAGGCATTTGTAGGGCACAAATGTTCACACAGATAGGCTCCACAGACACAAATAGCCAGGTCCCCGACATTCTTCTATGTTCACTTGGACAAACCTTTCGTCCTCCTTACTCATCAGTATAAGATGTGTGCTTCTGGGATTGACTTTTATAAATGGCCATAATCTGGACTAATGACTTTTAATTAACCCCAGCAAACCCATGTGATCTTGTGTCTCGTGACCTGGGCATCTGAACTTGTTTCCTAGGAACCTCAATTTGGTACTCCATTCAAAAAGGGAAGGAGTGTGAGCACGCTGAAAGGCAGTGCTCCATCACTGTTGAACACAGTAGAGATTGGGAAGAAGATGTGTCCTTGAGTAAATGAGATATTCTTGAACTACGGATGAAAAGGTTGGATGATCTGTTAAGATTAAGGTGGAGCCAAGCTTGTACTTCCCCAATTGAATAAAATTATGGGTGGGGCTGGACTCAGAACACAGTTCCAGGGACAGAGTTCCAGCAAGACAGTTCTATCAGCACAATTCCAGGAGACAGATGGTTCTGAGAGACCTCCAGAGGAACAAGTGTCTTCTGAGGCTGACCCTCAGAAATGTTAAAAAACATTTTATGTGTATGAGTGTATTGCCTCCTGGTGTGTAAGTGCACCTGTGTTGTGTCGTGCCCAAGGAGGTCAGAAGAGGGCTTTGGACCCCCTGGAACTGGAGTTACAGACAGTTGTTAGCCTGAGTGCGGGGAATTGAACCTGGGTCCTCTGCAAGAACAGCCAGTGCTCTTAACTGCTGAGCCATCTTTCCAGCCCCTGGCCCACTCTTTAAAAAAAAATTTTTTTTTCAGTTTTATGTGTATGAGTGTATTGCCTGCATGTGTGTACGTGCACTCATGTGCAGTGCCTGCAGAGGTCAGAAGAGGGCATGGGATCCTCTGGAACTGGAGTTAAGGACAATTGTTAGCCACATGTGGGTGCTGGGAATCAAACCTGGGTCTTCTGGAAGAGCAGCTAGTGCTCTTAACCTCTGAGCCATCTCTCCAGCACCCCACCCCCACCCCCAGCCTACTCTTAAAAACTAAATTTAAGAGTGAGGCTATTTGTTCAAGTGATTGTAGTGCTGGCAGGAAAGTTCCCAGGACTCCTCAGACTGTGGCCCTGGGCCTAGCTTCTTTCCAAGCAATACTTCCCCATACCCTGGTCTGTTTTTATGTGGTTTAAGACAACTCATATTTGACTACAGTGTAGCCATCCTCAGGACACACACATTTCCTACACCTGTGCTGAATTGTCTGTCCTGAGATTCAGAATGCCCCAGAAAACTGTGTGAAGGTCACTTAATCGGTGTGGGACTTAATCACAAGGCCCTTGATAAGGACAAGTGATGACAAGTGGACACTGATCCTGGGCCCAGTGGGTAAAACCCAGTGGTTATACTCCATAGGTTCACCGTGGGCGTCTCATGAAAAGAATCAAAGTTAAATAGCAACACATGACGGAGCAGAGTCACCAGGAGAGAAAGGTCAATCCTCTGTCTCATTTCAGACCTTGCCTTTTCTGTGAAGGTTTTTTATAGCCTAATTCTTGGGAGTAACTTTGTTCTTAATTAAGGATTCTAATTTTAAAGCAAGCCCTGGCCTCTTTCTTTCCAGACTCATTCTACTGTTTTGATTGGATTTTATGGCTAGAAATTAAGATCCTTTATTGTCTGTTATCTATTCCCCTCCACGGCTAGTTACCATGGTAAACTGGTGCTTTACTGAGTTCATAAACAGGCTTACCTTGCTAGAATATCAATGAAGAAAGGCCTTTGGGTCCTTATCGTAAGACCTTGCTCCTCTGAAGTGTGTTTTCCCTTGGGTGAGGCCATAGTTAAATGACATTTGAACCTTTCTTCACAGTGAATCCTGAGGGAAAAAGCGGAGCTTGGAAATGTAGGGGTTTTGCAAGGTCAGTTCCCTGGACAGAAGCTAATTTACACAAAGTAAAGTGCGCTTTTTTTTTCTGGATGTCACCCTGTGACATCTTGGGAGCCCACAAACTTCAAACAGTTTCAGAGAAGGGAACAGTCCTCTCTATGATGCACCCACCAGGCTAGATGCCCACTTAGACTAGAAGGGTGGACAAAAAAAGACAAGTGATATGAAGCAACAGTGTCTGTATGTTTGCCTTCAGGCAAAGATGAGTGCCAACTTCAAAAGGAATTATTTCATGGGGACCACAGAGAGAACTGGGAGACAGTCTCAGGAACAGCAGTGGTTTCTCTGATTTAGAAAAAAATGGGGTGGTGGCAGCGAGATGGCTCAGGAGTTAAGAGCACTGGCCAACGACCAGGTTCTACTTCCAGCATCCATGTGGTGGCCAACAATCATCCATAACTCCAGGTCCAGGAAACCTGACGCCCTGTTCTGGCCTCTGCAGGCATTGCACCCTCATGGTGCACACACATAACATTCAGGCAAAACACTCTTACACATAAAATAAAAATCTCAAGGCTAGAGAGCAGGCCCAGTGGTTAAGAGCACTGGCTGTTCTTGCAGAGGCACAGGTTTGATTTCTGGCACCCACATAGCAGCTAACAACCATCTGTAACTCCAGTTCCAGGGGATCCAACGCCCTCTTCTGACCTCCGAAGGCATTGTACAACACAGGTGCACTTACACGCACGAAAACAGTGCACTCAGACACATAAAATAAAATTTAGCTGGGCATGGTGGCACACACCTTTAATCTCAGCACTTGGGAGGCAGAGGCAGGCGGATTTCTGTGAGTTCAAGGCCACTCTTCTGACCTCTGCAGGCACTGCATGACATGGGTGTACTTATATACATGCAGGCAAAGACCAAAAAATAAAAATAAAAATAAATTTAAAAAAATTTTTTTTAATTAAAAAGATAATTGGTTGGTATATAGATCTTAAAATACTGGCTCTTTAAACGGCTGAACTATTTCATAATTCTTAAATCTGCTTTTAAACTGGGCATAGTAGCAGACACCTTTAATCCCAGCACTCAGGAGGCAGAGGCAGGGATTTCTGTGAGATAGAGGTCAGCCTATTCTATACAGCAAGTTCCAGGCCAGCTGGGGCTACAGGGAGACCCTGTCTCAAAAAAAACAAAACAAAATAAAATAGTGTGCTTTTAAAGAGTAGAATTTTCTACACCTGCTTGGCTATGGCTTTAATTTTAAAGAATTATTGACTAGATCCTCCAAGAGCCGATTGAGAACACTTGTTTTTCTCCTACCCACTGCCCTGGTCAGTCATAGCCCTTCAGCATCCCATCGATTAGCACCAGTGGAAAGATAAGAGGACAAGAAGCCCCCACTTTGCTACTTATTTGATACTTACAGGTGGGAAGTACAATTTATATAGTAAGGGAAATCTTTACTTTTTGAGCATTTTGGTTGATTACAGTACCAATAGCCAAAGCTAACCCGAGGCAACTTGAATTATGGATAAACTCATGGGTAAATTCATGGGAATCCCCTGCCAAAGCAAACTAGCTGGCAGGACTGGGGTGGGGCCAGGAGCAGGCAGGGCTAGAGGCGGGACTAGGAGGTGGAGTGGGGCAAAGGGCAGGTGGGGCCATGGGCGGGGCAATTTCCTTAAGGGCTGCTGTATCATTCTTGCTGTAGCCCCCTCCTCCCCACCAATCCCAGGGTGGTTTTGGTGTCTTGTTCTGAAACCAGTATTTGCTTTGCATTAACAGCATGGCCGGACCCCCTTGCACCTTGCTGCCAATAAGGGTCATCTGTCTGTGGTCCAGATCTTGCTGAAGGCTGGCTGTGACCTGGATGTGCAGGATGATGTAAGTAGAAGCATCATTTAATCAGGAGAAAGGTTGGCAGGGGAGCTTGTCTGCAGTAGAAGTCCACATTGCAGATGTCAGCATTACCAGCTGACAGGGGCTAGTAGATGCTCTCCGAGAACTTCCGGCTTCACAGCGTGCCTGTGATGGAAAAAAAAAAAAAAAAAAAAAAAAAAAGACCTGCTCAGAAGCTCATTCTCTACAGCAAGCTAGTTTGCCTGTAGTTCTCCAGGCCTGGTACACTCTCTATTAGCACTTGAGTGCTGCGCCTCCAAAGGCATTTACTTGTGTCCTGTCCCAGTACAAAGGACACATTCCCCAGTGAGTGTGGGCAAGGCCTGTGTCACTGACCAAATTTACCACCTGAGAAAAGGTAAGACTTAATTTCTCATCTTAATTTCTCTCAGTGTACATTTAGTGGGGAAGGATCTGTTGAAGGGAAAAGGGGACTTAGAATGGAATCCAAGAAAAAGGCCTGCAGAGAGTTCACTGCGGTTCTGTGCTGTCACTATGATGTCACTCCCTCCTGAGCTCACTGAGTTTGCCCGTCCACCGAGAGGACTCAGATTGGCCTCTCCAGCAGTCCAGGCTGAGTCTATGAGCAGTGGCCGAGTGGAGTTACACAGTACAAAGTGTGGTTCTCTTGGGTCTCTGAAGAAAGTGGGTTCTCTGAGAAATATTCATGTCAATTGTCCTCCAGTGAGTTATTAGGGGAAAATCCTGTGATCATGTAATTGGGGACTCTTTTCAGAGGCTGTTTCAACTCTTAATGATGTGGTAGAATTCTAAGAAATAAAACCTGTGAGTAACACAAGTTCTTGCAGTTTTCCACTTCCAGGTTCATTAATAACCCTAGCTACTAGTTTTCCTTGCAACTCTGTGCAGTGTACTAAAACTTGACAAACAAATGACTTGACTACATGTCAAATTCCAGGCTAGTCTGGGATACGCGAAACTCTGTTTCATAGAAAGAAAGAAAAATAACTAAATATGACCTTGTTTATGCATAGGCAGCAGACTGCATCTCTTATAAATCTGATTATATCGGAAGCCTATTGGGCACTAAGGGTGTTATTCTCAAAAGATGTTGATTTAGCTTTAAGCTACTGATTTTTTTTTTTTTTTTTTTTTTTTTGTTTTTTTGAGACCGTCTCCTTGTAGCCCCAGCTGTCCTGGACCTCCCTTTGTAGACCAGGCTGGCCACAAACTCACAAAGATCCACCTGCCTCTGCCTCCCAAGTGCTGGGATTAAAGGCATGCGCCACTACGCCTGGCTAAGCTACTGATTTTTACCTTGGGTCACAACACTTTATTTTTCTATACTGTAACCAACATACATTCTTGACCTATATCATCTCCTAGGATGACAGGAAGAAAATACTGGGAGAAGGTAGAGATGCCGACCACAGGAAAGGTGGGGCCTTGAGTTGCTGGTACAAACATGTTGGGACATCTCTTTGCAAATTAAAGTCCTTACTTGCCATCACGGCCACAATGCCAGGCTTGCCAACCCGTCCTAACTGAACACACCTGCTCAGGTCCTGAGCTCTGAGGTAGCCTGTGTTCTTCTGCAACAGAAGCTATGCTGATTTTCTAGGACTGCTGCTCCTCCAAGGAAGGAAGGAAGTGAAATAGGCAGGAATTCTCACACAGCAACCTGGTGAGCTGTAAGCAGATGGAAAGACAGCCCTGCTTTTAGGTAAAACATCCTCTTTTGTTAGAATCATTTTCCCCCTTGCTTTAGACAGACAATGTATACCCTACTTCCCCATAAAACTTAAAACAAGATGGCAGCATAAGAACAAACAGTGTGAAAACTGGAGGAGGTGGAAGTGCACTTGTCTGAGCTAACGATTCTCCTGGGACAACATCCTCAGCTGTTTCCTGTGTGTTTGCTGTACCTGTTGATCAGTTTTGAAATATCTACAAGAACCCAAAGAAATTTCTTTATTATCTTTAAAGAAGAGGGAAATTAACTATTGGGAGAAAAGTCACTTTAGAAGTCCCTTATCTTGGGGAAGGGACTTAAATACTATCAAATTATAGTGTATAAAAATCGCAAAAATTCAATTAAGAAAAAGAAAACAGGAAGTTATCATTTAAAAAAAGAAGCCCCCTAGCTTGGAGATAGGTGGAAACAGAATGTTAATGTTACAAAGCATTCATCCCAGCTTCGTGTCCTACAGATACTGATCTTTATGGCATGGTGAGGACTGAGAATTAGTGGAAGAATGACCTCCAGTGGCCTGGAGTGAGATTATTATGAGTTTCAACCTGTGGAAACCAGTTCTTTAGAATATGCAACTGCAGGAGCAAATTCTATCTTGTTTCCCACTAATCCTGTCAACTCTCCGCGGAGCTCTAACAGCATCTCTGATTGGTCAATGAGCAATCGCTTGGCCCCTACCTCAGATATAGTCCAGGACCCTGTGGCCGCAGTAAAAGGCATGAAGGAAGAAAAAACTAAGAGAAACCAGAGAAGAAAGGCTAGGAAGACCCCTAGAAGATCAGAGGGAGAAGAGGTTAGCACCTACTTTGCTTGCCTCCCTGTCCTCGGCTCCGTCGCAGCATGTCTGCCTGTGCAGTGGGGCCTTCCTCCCAGAGGGTGGCTCCACGCTTGCGTGACTCTTGCCTCTTCCATGGCCTTGGCAGTGGAACACGCCAGGCTTTTCACCATACAGGAGAGAGAAATAAAAGTATCTCACAACAAAGATTTGGGCCTCAGAGGTTCCAGAGCTCTTCAGTGAGAAGCACTGAGAGCTGGCAGTTCATATTCTTTTTCAAACAGGTTAGCGTGTTCCAAATCAGAATGCCAAACTGCTTTGCTGCTGCTGCTTCTAGTTTCTAGCTGCAACATTTTTTTTCTTAGCTTCTTTTCAATTATTCATTCAACAAATATATCGTGGGTAGCTTAGGACCAGGGCTCTATGTGACACAGCTAGGGTTTGTGAGGCAGCCCCAGTCTCATTGAGGCACCTGGTCTGTTTTGGAGACCAGGCCTAAGGTTAAATTGCCTTTACAGGTTGGAAGCATCTTGGGGTGAATGCAAAAAGCATTGTGTTCATCCAGAGTACTTTGAATTATATGATATAATTAGATGTCGTGACCCTTGGCACATAGAGATCAATAAATATTCACTGAGTAAATATTGAGTAAATGCTGTTAAGAGAGCTTTATTTTCTTCTGCGTTTTCTTTTCAGAATTTCATGGCTGATTTAGATCCTGTAGAAAGAGGGTTATGCCAGGCTCGCCTTTTGGGCCCATTAGTAGGCAGAATACATCTTTTTTGTTGTATTTCAAAGAGGATATGTTTCAGTGGTCATTTTAATTTTGTAGGAGCTAAGAATTGACTCTTAAGTAACTGAGCTTATTTCAACTGAAGGTCTGGTGTTACTGTATTATGTGTTCTAGGGAGAGACTAGTTCCAAGGACAGTCCAAGGCAGCTCTTTGTTCATGTGTCTCAGAGCCTTTCATTCTCATTTGGGGAACCTAAGAGAGCTAGTTTTTAAGTTGGACAAAGTATATCATTACTAGTCAGCCCAGTCATGGCTACCTCTTCCACATGGGTAAGGCTGAGTGTGATCACATAGTAGTAAGCAACCCAGGAAGCAAGGAGCCAAGTTCTCTGTGAGCTAGGAATAAAGCTGGAGAGGGACCTGCCTGGGGATGAGAAATGAGTGCACTGAGTGGGCCACCGAGCTTCGGACAGTTTGGTTTCTCACACGTGTCAGGCCTTCTTGAGTCTTGATAATCCAACTGGAAATGTCCTGGGGAGAGCTGCTCTAAGAGCTGGGTTTAGCTGCTTGCATTAAGCTGGAGACTCACAAAAGAAAGTTGTCTGGAGGGAGCAAATACCCTAGGTCAGTAAGGAAAGATTGTGTCATGCTAGCTCAAAGCTGCATCAACTCATGATCTGATGATCAGCTTATGGAACATGGGGAAATATTGGACCTGAACCAAGACTTAGACAAGGCTTAGACTATGCCCCTAACCAGGGATGTTCCTTCACGTTATCATTTGCTCTGACCATTGCTGACATGGCCTGCACGCTTCAGGCATGTTGCTTGCACTTTATGCATAATCAGATAGGATGGAAGTTTCTTTTCATAAAATGGTTGCTCTGATGGATCCAAGGAGTGCTCGGCAGAGTGCCTGCAGTTTGCAGGATGATGGAAAGGCCTGTCCTATTGGAGACCTGACTGAGTCAGTGCTACCTCAACCACATTTCTTATGGAGACCAGAGTGCCATCTTTCTCATCAGACCCATAATAATCAATCCCACTTGAGCCTCATTTTGAGGAAATTCATCACAAATCTGACAGGGAAATATGGGAAGTCATAGAATTAATGGAATTTTAAAAAATATTTCATTTTTTTTTTTAATGTGCATGAATGTATTGCTTGCATGTATGTAAGTGCACCTGTGATATGCAATGGCTGTGGAGGTCAGAAGAGGGCATCAGATCCCCTGGAGCTGGAGTTAGGACAGTTGTTAACTACCATGTGAGTGCTGAGAATTGAACCCGGGTCCTCTGCATGAACAACTAGTGCTCTTAACTGCTGAGCCATCTCTCCAGCCCCCTCTAATGGAATTCTTTTAAGTTGAGGCTAAAACACTATCTCGTCTAATGCCTTGTTTAGGGTTGAGCATCCCTCAGCTGGCACCTCTTCAGATGCCTGGCATAGCTTACCTCCTGTAGCCCCTTTTCCAAGCTATACTCTCCTTATTACAAGGCACATAGAAAGGGTCCTCTCTGAGTAAGATACCAGAAGGGTGAACAGGAAGAAAACCAGCCCAAATCCAACTTAGAATGTGATAATAGCTTACATGTCAGGGATGGGATTAATGGCCACACAGTCATGGTAATGGGGCGGGCTCCTTGTCCCCAGCACACTGCGTTCAAGTCCCTTAAATTCTACAAGGAGTAAATGGTAAGAAAAGTTTGTGAGACATGGGTAGGCCTATTCCGAGTATCTTCTTACAGCTTAAACTTTTAATTAGCATTAGTTTTACCTGATACTCAAAGCTATGTATGTTAAATATAAAAAAGTCGAGAAGTGCTTGACCGGTTCTGAGTCTCTGCAGTCACCACTGTCCATTGCAAAAAGAGGCTTCTTCAACCAGAGCTGACAGGAGCACTAGTCTATGGGCATAAACATAGTATTTAGAAGACAAATTAGGAGGCATTTATGTCTATTAGCAAAACTGCAACAGTGGCTTCCTCACTAGGGCCTGTAGCCTCCCCTGGCACAGGCTTCAGACATGAATTCTGTCCTGCAGAGTGGGCCTCAAATCTAATCTGAAAACAGGTAGTTGCCCCCATAACAGACTTGCCACAGTTGCACCAATGGACTCATCTTGCCTAACTTGAGCTCATCTTGCTCATCTTGGTGTTACTGTACACTGGGTGCACAGCTGTGTGAGACTGCTGACAGTTCTTCCCCCAGCAAGTATCCAAAAAAACAAGGTTTTTTGTTTTTATTTGTTTTGGGTTTTTTTGAGTCAAGGTCTCCTTGTAGCCCCAGCTGGCCTAGAACTCACCATGTAGAACAGGTTGGCCTCAGTCTCACAGAGATTCATCTGCTTCTGCCTCCAAAGTGCTGGGATTAAAGGTGTGTACCACCAGGCCCAGCATTTTTTTTTTTTTAATTTTGAGAAAGCAAATTTTAGGGGCTGTAGAAATGTCTCAGTGGCTAAGGGCACTTGCTGCTCTTGCAGAACACCTGGGTTCAGTTCCCAGTACCTACATGGTGACTAACTCCATGTTCCAGGGGATTTGATGGCCTCTTCTGGCCTCCATGGGTATTGTATACATGGGTGTGCTTACATACATGCAGGTAAAGATTCATACACCACATAAAATAAAAATAATAAGTAAAAAAAATTTTAAAAAGAAAGCAAATTTGAGGTTGTTTGTTTTTTGAAATAGTGTCTCACTATCTAGCCCAGGCTGGTCTTGAGCTCATGATCCTCCTGCCTCTGCCAACTGAGTGCTAGGATTATAGGTGTGTATCAATGTACCCAACCAAATTTGTATTTTAGGACTGAGTGAGGTTTTTGTTTTTTGTTTATTTTTGGTCTTTTTAAGACAGGGTCTCCCTGTAGCCCTAGCTAACCTGGAGCTCGCTATGTAGACCAGAGATCCACCTGCCATTGCCTCCCAAGTGCTGATATTAAAGCTATGCGCCACCACACCCAACTAGAGTGGTTTTTCTATTCTGATAAAAATACATATAGTTCATGTAAATATGGTTCATGGGTGCATTTTTGTGCCATAGTCACCACTAGTTCCAGAACTTTTATTGTTGAGTTAAACAGCTTTAATGTGTTTTGTTTGTGGTAAGTCCCAGGGAAGTCAGGGGTTTTCATTAAGGCTGCTTTTTAGTTAACGGTGCAGCTCTCCTGAAGCTCATCTTTCTTATCTGCCTTCCAGAGGCTCTCCTGTCTCTCTTAGTGCCCAGGGATATCCAGGACTGTGTTCTTTGCCCCTCTGTGCTCTGTCTGGAAATTTCATTTACATGAATCTTACTAGCCGAGTCATAGACTCCAGAATGGGAAGACTTTGGGGATCATCTGTTCCAGCGAGGAGAGTGATCTCTCCCAGGACTGTAGACAACTCATTCTCCTGATTCCCTGGCCCTTAGCTTATTCTTTTCCACCCAAAAACTTCCACATGCTTCATCCATCTCCCTTTTCAAGCCTGGTCCTCAAACTTGATTTGCCTCAACTTGACTTCTGCACACATGTCAGAGATAAAATGTGTTCTTGAGGCTCAGAGCTCTCTGAGCTCTCCTATTACAGTCTTGACCTTCTTACTTCTGGGAGTGGTTAGTCCTTCTCTCCACTGCAATTAAGGGAGTCAAGTTCTTGTTTGGTGCCTGAAGGAGAAAACCAGTTGGCAACCCTGAGAATCTGATCACAGAGAAAAGGGTTAAAATGCATCATAAATCACTGAGAACCTTCTTAGAAATATGTGGAGATAGGCCGCAGTCCTCAGAGACCTTGGGTGAAGCAGAGTATACCCCTATGTTGCTTTTGGCCAGTGCAAATCAGGGAACAAATTTTACACCTGCCATCAAAGCATGAGGGCCTTGAACTGCCACAGTGAGAGTGATTCCTTTGTAAGCCTGGCCTGAGGATGCATCGGGGAGTGAGGACAGTAGGCATTGCTGGGTTAACTGCACAGCATATACACCCTGGCTGCCAGACCTGCTCCTCACAGCATGACAGTCACATCACCCCCAGAAAGTGGGACAGAGCCTTACTCTCCAGACCTAGATTTGAGGCTAAAAGCTAATCTTGCTGCTGATACAAAATCCCTTCAAGTTTGTGAGCAAAATTGCTCTACCAGCATGCATTTTCTACTAATGGGACCCCAAAACTCACCTTGCCTGTGGTGGCCTAGCCCTTCTGCAAGTAACCGGTCTGCTCCTTGTGGGAGTCGGGGATGCCCTGGTGTCTGGCTGATAAAAGGAGGTATGTTGCTAGAGAGAGCTAACTGCTGTTCCTGCCTCCGTGTCACTTTTCAGGGGGACCAGACAGCCTTGCACCGGGCCGCAGTGGTGGGGAATACTGAAATCATCACAGCACTCATCCGGGAGGGATGTGCTCTGGATAGACAGGACAAGGTGAGTGGGGTGGCTTTACCCACTGCAGAACAGTGAACGTGCAAGATGTCATTTCTCTCCTACCACTCTTAACAAGACACAGTCAACATAGATTTCCTCTGAAAGAGTGTCTGGGATGCCAGCCAGTTGTGTTTGTTTAAAAAGCCTTCCCTCTGTTCTGTGGCTGAGTGACAACAGCATAAATCAGGTAAAGGAAAAATCTAGAAGTCATGACCTGTGAAGACTGTTGAAGGTGGGGATCCTCAGGTGTTATTTTTGTTTTTTTTTTTTTTTTGTCTTTTGTTTTGTTTTGTTTTGTTTTTTTGGTGTTTTTTGAGACAGGGTCTCCCAGTAGGCCCAGCTGGCCTGGAACAAACTATGTAAACCAGGCTGGCCTTGAACTCACAGAGATCCACCTGCCTCTCCCTCCCAATTGCTGGGATCAAAGATGTGTACCACCACACCTGGCCTGTTTGCTTTTTAATGAGCAAGTAAGTTAAATTCTTTAAACTCTTGAAGAATAAAAGCAAACCAAATATTTCTTTTTTGAAAGAATTCCAAAGACATATCATACATAACCTGATGTTTGTAAATTGTCAGGTCATAAAATATGGGATTTTTGCATTGAAGTGCAATATGACTTCTGCTTTCTTTGTCCCCTCACTTTTCTGCACAAACAGTAAGTGCAGCTCCAAGTCTCCCCAAACACACCTGTGGGTACCAGCTCAAGAGAGGCTCCTTCACGGCCCCAGAGCCCCTCTCCGCACTCCTTACTGCTGCTGCTTCTGCCCCAGCCCCACAGCCCCATGGCCTCTTGGCACAGCCCGTCCTAGCCTTTGGAACCCTAGTCTCCTCTTGTGGGTGTCAGGAGACTCCAGCCCTTTTGTGCACATCTCTAGATATTTCCAGAGACATAAGTGTAGCTGACTGAAATCTAATTCAGAGTCCAACATAATTGAAAAATATGCTGCCCCCCTGAGCAGCCTAGCCTGGAGCACCAGGCAAGGCTACCTGACGCCCCATCCCAATGTTTCCCCCCTTCTCCCATAGCAACTTAGGTAAATATGAGCCATTTTATTTGTTAGTATTTAAAAGCCATGTATTTAAGACCCTTGTTTGGCCTATTTACAAATCATTGCTTCTTTGGTACCTATTCATTTATTTAAGGTCCTGAGGATTTTAGACTAAACCAATGTTAAATTTTGGTGAAGAAATGGGGGTGGGGAGGCCCTCTACCTATTGGATCCCATTTTCAGGGTTCCTTCTGGTGTCAGGAATGTAGTGGACCCCAGGGGGCAGTGGAGGTGGGAAGGAATGGACAGTGTAACATCGCAAGGAGGTTGGGCTTTATAGATCAGAGCTGTGGGAGGCCCTTGAGCCTTTCTCAATGATGTGCTCTCAAAGAGACTTAGGCCCCGACGCACCCACTGTACCTCAGGAGGTAGTTTCTCCTGTGTTCAGAGTGGTTCTTATCCTGTACTGTTACTGGGAGAATGGAGAAGCTAGCCCCTCAAATCTTCTGTCCTCTGTGGTTCAGATGAGGCTTCCTCCCCAACTGAGGAAGGCCCTGTGGCCACTATAAATATTGTTTTAGTAAGTAGTATCGGGCCCTGGGTAATGTGTCTTCCCCATGTGTTCCTCAGGATGGGAATACAGCCCTGCATGAAGCCTCCTGGCATGGGTTCAGCCAGTCAGCCAAGCTACTCGTTAAAGCAGGAGCCAACGTGCTTGCTAGGAACAAGGTGAGGCCCAGCAGAGTTAGACCTCCTTCACAGGTGAGGAGGGCTGTGGGAGTATTTTCCCTCCTGGTAATTTTCTCTCCATGAGGAGAGCCAGAGCTCATTGGGGCATGGAGAACCCAGCAGGGGCAGGCTGACCTACAAGGTTCCTTATAGAGAAGCAGGTGGACTGGTGTTCCATGTCAGGACAAACCCATCAACAGTGCTGAGCCCTGCTGGTGGGAGCTACCCCTGACCACTACTGGGAACCTGTGTTGATTACTGTCATCACCATTTGACGCTATTACAAAAGTACAAGAATAGAGAGTTGTCACGAAAAACATCAGCAAAGAACTGAAATACTAATACTCACTAGTAGAATGGTGTGGTAAAATGACTCAGCAGATGCTGCTGGAGAAATGGGATAGGAACAGCCCCCTTCAGGAGGCAAGTTGTAAAATAAAAGATGATAGTACTGGTGGTGTAGCTCAGTGCCAGGACACTTGCCTAGCATAAACAAGGTCTCCCAGTTCACTCTCCAGCATTACCATAAAAGGAAAAAAATAATTAACACAGTAGCTGCTCTTCTAGGTTTCAGTTCCTTTTTAAAAATTTTAAAAATGAATATTTTGTTTGCATGTATGTAAATGCATCCATACATGCAATGCCTGCAGAGGCCAGATGAGGGCGCCAGATCCCCTGGAACTAGCGTTTTGGACAGTTGTGAGCCACCATGTGGGTGCTGGAAACAACTTGGGTCCTCTGCAAGAGCAGCCAGTGCTCTTAACAGCTGAACCATCTCTCCAGCCCCAGGTTTTTAATTTTTTTTTCAGAAAATATTTTCTTTAATATTTTATGTGTATGAGTGTATTGCCTGCTTATATGTGCATACACCCATGTTGTACAGTGCCCATGGAGATCAGAAGAGGGCATCAGATTTCCTTGGAACTGAAGCTATGGATGGTTGTTAGCTACCATGCAGATGTTAGGAATTGAACTTGGGTCATCTGCAAGAGCAGCCAGTGCTCTTAACCACTGAGCCCTCTCTGCAGTCCCCAGGTTTCAATTCTTAAAGCAGCAAAATATGCTGGTAAAAATTTACCTCCAACTGTGTTTATGATAACAATAATTGAAATAGTAAAAATGGCTGAGTGTGGTGGCTCACATCTTTAATCCCAGCACTGAACACTTGGGAGACAGAGGCAGGTGGATCACTTTGAGTTCGAGGTCAGCCAGGTCTACGTAGTGAGTTCCCAGCTAGGCAAACTTCGTAGTGAGAATCTGTCTCAAAAAAAAAAAGAAAAAGAAAAAAATAATAAAAATTTAAATAATGGTTTGGAGATAATGCTTTTCAGTTGTGAAAGAACATGACAGGAGTACAAAATCACGAATATTTATCTCAGTGCTAATGTGAATTTACATGCAGTAAAAATTAACCCAAGAAGGATATGACCAAAATATCAATAGTGGTTATCTATCTGGATAGGCCTATTAATTTTGGTTTTGTTTTTAATGTTTGTGCCTTTTCCAAATTTTCTAAATGGAACGGATTCTTTAACCATCAGGAAAGGAAACATGTTTTTTAAAAATAAAAGAAGCATTATCAATGCTCTTAGGATATTTGCAATAGTGATGAGAAAAAGGTTTTCTTTTCTCTCCTTGGATGGCCAGGCTGGGTCGGTGGCAAATGTTTAAGGAGCTTGAGGATTTCCCACAATGCACTTGCATGGTTGGTGACTGTGACTGGTGGCCACATCTAGAGAAGTGGCAGAGTATTGAGTCCAGGCCGGTGCAGCAGCAGCATGGACAGCACTAAGTAGCCCCCTAACACACAGAGTATGGCACATCAGGACTGGAAACCAAGTATCTGTGGCCCAAGACCCCTGCACACACATCTCTATGCAACCTCTTCAACACCAAAGTCAGGCACAAGATGTGACATTAACCAGCTTATCAGAAATAGTCTGCGCTAATGCAGTGACCTCTCCAAACCTTGCCTGCTGTAGTTCCTTAAAATGAAAGCTGGAAATACTTTAGTGAGCTCATCAGTGAGCATAGTAATGTGAGGGTCCAAGGAACCTGCTTCAGTGGCTTTGACCTTTGAAATATCCTGGTCCTCAACTGTCGCGAGCCGGGACTCTGTCCAGCAGAGTCCAGGAAAGACAACACAGA